TTCTAACTGTAAGCCAGAAACAAACAAATGAAACCAGAAGTCTTCTTCCCTTAAGTGACTCCTGGTCAAGCATTTGATTAACAGTAAGAAAGGTAAGCAATGTTTGGGGAACATTACTTTTAACAGGCATCCTGAGAAGGTGTGAGAAGCTGTTGGTGAGAGGAGATAGGTGTCAGAAGATGAAGTTAATGGTACAATGAGGTCTGCTAGAAAGATCCGAATTCATATTCAAGTTCAAGTACTCATGCGTTTTTTAACTTCTCCGAATCATTTGCAAAGTGGGCATAATAATACTTACCTAAGAAGACTCCTTGAGAGTCAAATAAAGTTGTCATGTCTAAAGCTACAGTAGTGGAGATAATTTTCAAATTGGGCTCCAAGGAGGGCTATAAAACAGCCACTACAAGAGGCTCTAGTTTCCCTATTCTTCCAAGGCCCCTGACAGACAGTAAGTCAATCTGTGACAAACAGTTTAAGTGTGTGCTTAAAAGTGATTTCTCATGAGATTCCTCTAAGGTAAGAAAGCTCTCAAAGCACCCAGCTGCATGCCCTCCCCAATGTCTGCTAAGTACTCAGAGGAAACAGTGGGTGACAAGAGCAACGACCTTGACATTTAAGTCAGCCTTTGCTTTCCCACAAACCCACCATGACAAGTGTTTTTGAAGTGAAGAAGTTCAAACATCAAAAAGAGTCCCATAAAGGAACCCTCAAGATAGGCAAGTGTGGTATCACAGGTATACTATCCCAGCACTTAGGATGTGCATCTAAGAGGATTGGAGGTCCAGAGTTGTTGTTGGCTACATACATAGTGAGTTTGAGGCCAGCCTGGGGTACATGAGGCACTGTCTCAAAAACAGGTGCCCACAAGGCCCACACATTTCCAGTCTTAATAATTTTGTGAGGTGCCTCACACCCTGTCTCATTCCTTAACTACTCTATAGGTACTAGACTCTTCACTCTTAGGTATTTGCTGACACTGCTTATAAACTAGTCTTGAATATTCTTATGATCATTCTCATTAGACCCTCTTTGGGCTATGATTTCAGCCCAACTGTCAACTTGTGTTATGACTACAGCCTAATACTTCCCAGGCTTGGAAGTAAAGTCATTCAAATAGGTATGGAGTTCAAATGGGAAGCCACTGATGGGCTATTTGAAATGGTACAGTGACAAGATCATATTCAAATTTATAGAAATAGCAATTTCAAGAATCATATGACCTACCTTAGTGGAAGAAAGAGGCATGTGGTATCATTGTGTTCCAAGAGTAAAGCCACCCTCTGACAGACTTCTAACACCTACAGTGCCCTAGGCTCATGGAGTGTTAGTATTCCTGGCTGAGGGGGCAGAAGAATCTCACTTCTTATCAAAGGATCCTGTTCCTGACCTGGGACTCTCTTGCCTTCACTCATCAGTCAGGAACTACTTACGAATTCAGTTATGGTGAATAAGTAGACACAAAACATAACAAACAATTTGCTAATGCTCAGTACCATCTCCATCTTTCTACTCTCAGCCCTCACCCCCTACTTCATCCAGCCTCCAGAAAGGTAAAGCTTTGAGATTATAATTGTCATTCCTATTCTCCATTACAGGTAGGATCCCCTAATTAGAGTCCATTGACAAGTGACAACTGAGTGAAGTTTAGAAGATGAAAAGGAGAAGCTCCTGGTTCCTGGAGTACAGGTGAATAGGGCAGAGGCCATAGGGTGTTTTTCTATGATCTCTAGGTGGCCGCCTAAATATCACCAATCTCAGTGCTGTTAGGAACTGGAATTTTTGGTTGTACCAAGACCTCCATCCTTTAAAGGTTTTAAATTGGCCTTAATAACTTTTTAAAAGCCAAGTCTTTCATTATATTAAGGGTTTTGTTTCTCCTTTTACTCAGAGTAACTTCCATTTTTCTGACCAGCTCTGACTGATATCCATGGGCTGTAGAAGGAAAGCAAATAGTTCTGAGATCACAACAATACTGTTGCATGTGGTACAAAGGCTGAAGAATAAATTCCACCCATTGCTACTGTCATCACAGGCTGTTGACAGCCCACTTCAGTTCAGTCTCTTGAAGATAAGACTACCGAATTTAATGTATAAGCAAGGTCTAGACATTTACATATTACGTCACAAAAAACAGTAATCTTTGTCTAGTACATTTTCTTGAACCCATTGGATCAAGAATGGTGGTAATAAAGGAGGGATCCATACCAAACAGTAACAAAAAGAATGCATATCATTGAGATATGATATACTTGGCATGAATGAATCATGTTTTCATCACCAGGATTATCTTATTTCTCTGACTAATCCATGAAGAATTAATATATACTAATTTCTGTAGGACCGCCACACATACTTTTAACAATGGTAGTGATTTCTTTGTATGTCCTGGGTTGTCCCAGAACTCACTCTGTAGACCTTTGGGCTCAAGTTATTTCAATTAGTTACTAGGATGGAGGACACTTTTCATATAGGACAGTTTTTTTCTGCTAACATGTGGGAGGTTAAATAGGCAAACAATTGTTAAATTTAAAAAAAAGCAAAGAGAAAAAATTTTGCCTAACCAAGTGTCAATACATTTAAGACATTTACAAAGTTTGGTGTAATTTCATAATTTAAGAAAAGGAGGTAGGGGAACTGCCAATAGGAGGCCAACCTAGGTGCATACCAAGTTGGAAATCAGCTTGTCTCTATAAAGTAAGTTCTAGGACAACCCAGGATACACAAAGAAATCATTATCATTGTGGCTTTACAGTAACTAAAATATCCATAAAGTATAAGAAGATCCTGTAAATCAGAATGGAGGATATAAACAACTTTTAAGTGGCAAATAGAATATACACATAACAGGAAAATGGACTGCCCAACAAACTTATAGCTGATGTTCTCTTAGAAGGAATCAGAGAGAAGACAAGCAGTAGATGGTGAGATTATCTTCATAGGCATAATGCTTAGTAAAAATTAGAAAGGCGAATACTTCAAAGCAGAGAGCAAAGCAGAGGCTAGGGCAGTCCTTTTGTAACTGGTGGTGGTGTCAAGGGACTGAGTTGCCAAATGAGCATCCTGGAAATACTTAGAGAAGTTGACCTAGTAGGCTCACACTCATCAACAAACTCAAGCCTTTGCTCACGTTTGCGATCTTCCTGTCTACTTGGCAGATTGCCTTGGGGGGTTTCTTTAGGCTAGTTAAGTTAACATCAGGTTTTCTGACTGTGAAACCCCATCTAGATGCTGCTGCTGAGTCACCTCCAGAGCTCTGGTCTGTAGTCTATCCAGTCAACTTTCCTGCAGATTCCCCGGAATCATAGGAGTAGGAACTGAAAGAAGTCAGCTCAAGCTTCCAGCATGTGGAGGCCACCAGCCTGGTGGCTCTTCATTAGTTTCTCCTTCAGCAGCCACAGTGCTGCTGAATGATGATTTCTTTTCGTTAATAAGGTTCTTGCCAGGGTGTAATGCTGGATAATGCCACCAAACTCCAAAACCAGAAGTTTCTCTCTTGTCTCTTTCAGCAAGGTACTCATCTCCTCTACCTATGATTGGAGGCAGTAGGGGTTGGATAAGCAGCTTCTGATTCCTGTATCTGGGAAAAAAATAATTAAAAGAAGAAGAGCAAAGAGAGACATGGAAGCATGGAAGGACAGTCTGAGGCAGAGAAGCAAGGAGAAACCATCCAGGGTCAACAGTCATGGGAATAGTGAGTGAGAGGAAAATAAGAACTGTGTCTCAGGTGAAAAAAAAAAAAAAAAAAAGGCCAGGCCTAGATGATGGGAATCTTGAGATTGCTAGCAGAGTGACCACAGGAGAAAGAGGTTGGATTTGCAGCTGGGTAAGACAGGGTGACAGCAGCAGGAAAGTGGCACTTTGGGTGTAGGATTGGCATATGTGAGAGAGGCAGAGTGATTATCTCAGAAATCCCAAAACACGAGGTAAAAACTATGAATATTACAGGGTTTGCATATCAGATATCTCCCAAAAGGCAGAATATGGGAATTCATTGGGATTTATATGGCTTATATGGGAAAATGATGGGAATGGGGGCTGAGTTCTTAGAAGTTATTAGACATAATGCTGTGTATATGGCCAGAGAGTGAAGTCAACCCAGGCAGGGCAGGCAGTTTTAGAAAGGCATAAGATATATAGTTGATTTTGCTGTAATTGTTGAATAAAGTTTTAGTATGTTCTATGTGATGGCTAAGGCACACATGCTATAAAAATTATTTGTTGTTTCTCCCAGACTCTTCTGAATTGGGCACCTCATCTGGTGACCATAAAAGGGATTGCAATGATAGATGATTACAGAGACTTGGAAAGCCCCTTCTGAGGAAATGGGAGAGGAGGCACAGCGGGACAGCCTGGACAACCTGAGGCACGTTCCTGGTGGCATCTGACTGACGTTCAGAGATGGCCAGGGATGCCTAATATTCTACTGTTTTCAAAGAGAATAGAAGTATGTAGTTTTAATGTGTGCCCATCCCAATTTTGAAAGTGAGAAATTAATGGAAGAAAAAACGCTGTTGCTAGGAAAGCAGTCTTGTGGTAACACAAGACACATGGGCCCGTGGTTTGCAACCCCTGATCTAATCTGAGGAATTGGGTGGGGCATGTTTTACCCTCTTAACTATGAAATGATGGTGATCTGTAAGGCTATGGTAGGTAGTATTCAGTTGCGAGAAGGATCAGCAACAGGGAATTAAATTGCAGGGGTGAATCTGGTGCTGTCTTGCTGAATCCGGCCTCAGGCCGTTGCCTCCCAGCCTTCTCAGGCAGCACAGAAATGCCAATTGGAATTTCGAAAACTTTCGTCAGAAATTTGTGGGTGGAAACTTCCTGGGGTTGCTGAGAGCTTTCTGAGAGGCTTCTCAGCTTCTGATGCAAAGTGAGTGGGTGTCTCACAGAGAAGAGGGTGTTTCCCTTGACTGTGGAAACTTTATAAAGAGAATGCACGCACTTACCATCTCTGGAACAGTCAACATCAGGTGTCCTGATCTCCACACTTCAAGAGTCTCCGCAAGATTGAGAGAAGAAAACCCTTTCCCAGGATAGGGTACCATGCAGCAGCCTGTGAATTATGCATGTCCCGAAATTTATTGGGTGGAAAACAGTGCCACTTCTCCTTGGGCTCCTTCAGGATCAATTTTTCCCTGTCCATCCTCTGTGCCTGGAAGGCTGGACCAAAGGAGACCACCGCCACCGCCACCGCCACCACCGATACCACCTCCATCGCAACCATCACCACCGATACCACCACCATCTCCACAGCTGCAACTGCCCTGTCTAAAGAGGAAGGACCACAGCATAGATCATTGGCTACCGGTGATATTTTTCATGGTTCTGGCGGCTTTGGTTGGATTGGGGTTAGGAATGTATCAGCTTTTCCATCTGCAGAAGGAGCTGGCAGAACTCCGTGAGGTAAGCCTGGTGCGTGGATCAATAACGCCCCCAAGTCCCTGAGTGCAACACGACTGAGCTGCGTGTGGGTCACTGTGTTGCTTGAAGTGATTTAGTTTTTCTGTTTGTTTGTTTTAATGTTTAATAATTTTAACCCCCTCCGCTTTAGGAAGGGTTGGTATATCATTTTTGTTCCGTAGTTGGAGAGACAGGCTCACTCCCTCAAAGGCAGTGGTTCTCAACATGTGGGTTGCGACCCCTAGGAGGTGGTTAAATGACTCTTTTACGGGGTTTGCATATCAGATATCCTGGATATCAGATATTCAATAGCAAAATTGCACTATAAATAACAATGAACTGTATTAAAAGGTTGTCGCAGCATTAGGAAGGTTGAGAACCACTGGTAAAAGAGAATATTTCCCATCTTTTAGAGAATTGAGGCAAATAAGTGTTCCTTTCTCAGTTGTCAAGAATGATTCAAGGAAAAAAATCAATTTTGAATCTTGCTTTGAAGTGTAGAATAAATCTGTTTGAAAAGACTTGGAAGTCTTCGTACGACTCCAAATACCATTGTGTGGCTCAAGTTTAAGTCGGGCCAGGATCACAAGTATCTGAGTTCTTTTTCTAGGGACTAATGGGATTTTCTTCCTGCTTGGCTTAAATAACTCCCCACTTATTGTATGAATCTTTCTCTTTCACTAGTTCACCAACCAAAGCTTTAAAGTATCATCTTTGGAAAAGCAAATACGTAAGTACTTTTATGTGTGTCTTTTGAATTCCCCAAGGTAGTCCTCAACACTGAACAGAATTGGGAGGATGCCTGGGAGTTCCCCCATTCTTGGGCTTACAATTCCTTCACAAGAACCTGGGGAACTTAAGACTTCAAATTCAGTCTGGTTCCGTGAACTACAAGAAAATATTGGACACAGTTTACTGCTCAATAGCCATGTATCTGAATGAACACTGCACATAACTCAAATGAATTTGAGCTTGATTTTGGGAAGAGACACACACAGCCCTGGGCCTCTCCCTTTCCCCCTTCCCTAAGTGTCTTGGTCCCATCTCACATGGTGGTAGCTGTGACTCCTCAGGACAGAAGGGTAGTAAACACAGACATAAATGTTTCTGGGGATGTCCTCTCCTCCTTTTAAACTAAAAGTGACTACTCAAGAATGAAGCCGTATTTTTAAAATATCATGTAAGATACAACAATTTTAGAAGTAAACCCATTGCTTTCATTAATGTGCTTCTTCTGAAATTGTAAGACGTTTGGGGAAGACTTTAGCCATTGTCCACAGGACTGTACACCTTTCCCACAGAGTACTTAAGATGCCTTTGATGAGTTTGATGATAAACCACCATCACATACACACATATTACATTCAGGCTAAGAGGAAGAAGACCAGTTTAAACACAAAATTTGAGAGCATGGTTTCAGGAGATTGAACAGAGATTTCAGGATCTACTTTATATGTCTTGGACTCAGGTTCATGAAGCTTTATACTTCCTTTGAACTGGAAAGGAGCTTATGGGGAAAGGGATCTACTTCCCATTTTCTAGGAGATATACAAAATACTGAGCAATTAGGTGCAATGCCCAAGCCTTCTGGTATGAAACTGGGAAAGAGGAGAACAGTCCTCCTATGTCTTGTTACATATAGGGCTTTCTGACTCACAGAGAAACTCTCACTTCTCCCCAAAATGGTGTAAAGCGGTTGCCTTTGCAAAATCAAAGGGCAGTTTTATCCTACTAACTTTGAAGAAAGCTGAAAGGCAAGAGACAACAGTGGCCATTCATTAAGGAGAGCTGGCTCCATTCTCAGAAAGTGGCCAGTCAGCCTGCCTGAGAATAAGAGCTCTTGCAGGGGCCACCATGGAGTGCTCTGGTTTTCAGCTCGGCATTCAAGTCTCTAAGCACCAGAAAACCCAGATTGCACAGGGACAGTGGAAATAACTCATTAGGAAAACGAAACCTCTCAGGACTTCTACAGTGAAATCACTTTGAAAATTAGTGGAACGTGGCTTGTGTACATGTGTTAATCACTCCCTGTCACCCACTCCATGGAGTCATTTTAGTGAATAAAAGTCAAATGGACAGATGAGTCAGGTCTACCTACCCCAGCAGTTATCTTTTTTACATCAATGTAGATGGCCAGAAATTGATAACCTGTCACAAGAAAGTTAAAATAGCAACTTTGCTCTTAAGAGGAGAAAGGGGTATTTATTTCTTCCACCAAATTTCACAAAAATAAGGAAACAAAAAATTTAAAATATGTGTGAGGAAAAAGGCTGTATCTGGCACAAGTTTCATCTAGCATGCATGGAAGTTGTTGTAAGTACCCCGAAGAACACGAGGAAAGTTCATTCTAAGGGGTTGAACTGTTAGTCTGCCTTGTAATCTCACAACTAAAAGATTCTCTTAGGAAAATAGTTGGAGGTATAGATAAAAATTGATATATATAGTGTGTTCATCTCTTTCTTTTATCTCTTTTCATTTTTTCTTTTCTGTTTTACTTTCTTTCCTTCTTTAAGGTGTGCACCACCACCACCTGGCTTTTCTGTTTTAAAAAAGATTTATTTATTTTTATTTTAGACTCATTGGTGTTTTTCATGCATGTCTGTGTGAGGGTGCCAGATTCCCTGGAACTGGAGCTACAGACAGTTGTGAGCCACCACGTGGGTGCTGGGAATTGAACTCAGGTCCCCTGGAAGAACAGCTTGTGCTCTTAACCTCTGAACCATCTCTCCAGCCCTATTTATCAGTTTCTTAAAAAAAAAAAAGAAACAATTTGGAAGAATAGGAGATAAGTTGAATACATTGTGGCACATTAATAGAATACCATTATGAATGGCACTAAAACAGAAGTATCTCCTTGTAGGATTTTTAATGCCATGAATATTGTGCATTTTATATTGTTAGATAAATAGACTAGTTATCAAAGGCTGCTTTTAGTTTAATACTCATTATAAAGTACATCTGCATGCTTTTAACTTCTAAGGAAAGAACAAACCAATATAGCAAGTGATTTTTTTTCCTGGAAGATACTATAGCTATCATAGATTTCTTTTTTCCATTTAAAATACTTTTCCCAACAATTTATTTATCTTATTGTGTGCTTACATACACACGTGCATATGTATTGCCACAGCTTGTGTGTGGAGGTCAGAGAATAACTTGTGGGGATTGTTCTCTCCTTCTGCCTGTGGGTTTGAGGAATCAAATTCAGTCCTCAGCCTTGTCAGCAAGTTCCCCAGCCATCTAGCCAGCCCTATTTCTTCTGATGCTTCTACCTTCTCCGTGGTTAGATAATTGGATGTTTTGCTTACAGACAAGGTTTTTAGAGAACCTCCTGTGACTGAGATGAGTCTTGGTGTTTGAGAATGAGAGAGAAAAAGATGGATGCCTGTTGTCATTGATCTTATAGCACAGTGGAGAAGAGGAACAAAAAGAAACCAACAATACAATTCTAAATAGTATTAAGGGTGATCCAAAGTAGAGAAGCCTGGAAAAGTTCTTTATAAAGTTGTCTATGCTGATGCACGTGGAAGCTATCAGAAGTCCCTCAAAGAGAAGAGTATGGGTCATGGAGCACAGAGGACATTCCACGTTGCACATGCAAAGAGCCTGGGGGCAGGAAAAAGACTTTCTTTATATTTCTGATTATTTCCAGGACCCATGCAGCAGATATTTATAGGAGTATATTTTATGGGAGTAACATTGTGCTAGGGTCTATGAGAAATATAAAGTTAAGCAACATGTGGTTCTTTGCTCCATTTCCTGTTACTGCATGGCAGAATGCCAGGTCATCTGCTCTCATGGTTTGTGGTGTGTAAGAGGTCCAGTCTTGCCTATTCTGTTCCCTCACACTTTCTTCAAGAAAAGTTGTTCTAGGTGCTAGAAAGGTCATGATTGTTTAAATAATGTTTTCAGCAGACAGGGATATTTTCCACCCTGGGTGTGTTTTATAGTCTTGTCCCAAGCCTAAGGTGGACAAGCACCCTCCCATAAATGTTTTTTGAATATATTAGTTAATTGAATTAATGAAGCCCAGTACTAGACTTTTACCTTAACTGAGATATTTGAAGTTAGAGAAATACTGTTTATTTGAAAAGATGTTATCAATTTTAATGACTTCACTTTAATTTACTGATGCTATGCTAAACAAGGCTAAATGATCTTGTGACTTAACTATATAGTAAAATGGTATGAGGGGAAGACTTGGTAGCCAGGATCCTAAAGCCCAGAAATGTTAGTACTAGTTTAGATCATAAAGTGCTTATTCTAGAGAGCTACTATTTCCCTGAACATGAAATAAGTAAAGACAGGTTTTTTTTTTGTTTTGTTTTTTTTTTGTAGTTGCACCAGCAAGGAGCAGCCAGAACTATCAAGAGAGGCAAAGAAAGGGGGATTTTAGCCTTTGAAGGGTGAAGGATCATATTTGACAAAAGATGTGCAAGGATTTCCCAAAGGAAGAGCAGTGAAAGATGGTCATTAGAGAATTGATAGGAATTTAACACAGAGATCTCAGCTGGAGGGTATTCCAGACAGCATGAGAAAAAGCCCAGGGGCAGGGAAGAAGGGGCCATAACTAGGTCATAGAACCTATGCTGTATTCAAGAGTTTGATGGGATGGAATAGGGGGAGTAAAACTGATACCACATATAGAGAAAGATGATGGAGTAAAATTGTGGACAACCTCATGATTGATAAGGAGGTCTTAATATAATTAACTTGGGAGTAGATTATAGACTGGTGCCCAGGAGGTGAATCAGTAGCCTATCAGTCAACACAGTCACGGTATACAGACCATGGATTTACAGTCAGCCTGCAGTGTCCATTGCATCCACCATTAGAGTCAGTCAGCTCTAATGTCTTTTTGCCAATTATAATTATGGCAATGAAGGGCCCAAGGCAAGTTCTAAATGGAGTAAATGAAATGGCTGCTTTGTGCAGCGAAATTTGTTTTCATTATGTTTTTATCATTACTTATGTGTATACATCTGTTTTTTCTGTCTTGTCTTTTTAAACTGTTTTTAAATTACAGATATTTCAGACATGAGTTCCACAGTTTAGATTTTTCTTGATAAGTGTGTACTAGAATATTTCTCTCTCTGAAAAACATATATTTAAATAGTGAGGTTTAGAGTCCCAATCAAGATAGTAGTTGGCATCTATCATAATAATTTACACATGTCTTTTATCTTTCTATGATGCAGACCACCCCAGTCAGCCCTTTGAGAAAGACAAGCCGAGGTGTGTGGCCCACTTAACAGGTTTGTGTCTGGAGGGACTGGATAAGGACAGAAAGTCTTTGGAAAAATGTGGACCAACTGCTCAATTTCCATTGTAGGATCTTGGAAAGTATTATTGACAATTGTATTAACCACTCAAGACCATTCATATCTGTGGAATTTCATAAGCCTAATCTGACAATTCTAATGTTATAGAGTTGTGTATGACTTGATCTTGGCTGTAAAATGTGCACTCATGAAAATGGAGCTGATCTCAAAGCTCTAACCTCTAGATGGGTGATACAGAAACCTGGTGCCACACAGATATGAAGGGAGACGAGAGTGACAGCTGTAGCCAGTTTCAAAGTATAGACAGTAATGAGGATGCACATAAAACTGATGACCAAGGATAGGGACTTTCTGTTGCATTTCCTTCACGATGGGAAATGATCATTTTCACCATGCGGGTTGTGCAAGAGCATGCACGTGCACACACACATGCACACACCTGTCTGGGCTAGATAAATTAGACCTGGAGCATATTCTCCGTTGGCTCTGGAGCTCACAAGCTCTGACTCAGTACACATCTCCTGTAGATAACAGCCTGCTGGGGAGGGTGGCTTAAGGGTAGAGTGGAAATACATTCCTGTGTGCAGTGTGTAGGATTCTCATTGCCACCTTGCCTCAACCTCTTGGTGACCTCTGTTAAAGACAAGTCTGGTCCACACAGGAGCCCCAATCATCATTTTCATGAGAGGAGGAGATGGCTGCCTTAATTGAGAGGAGTGTGACACCAACACTGGGAAGGTGGTATGCATCTGCCACACTTCAGGAGTTGGCATTGTTGGCGCTTCATGTGAGGGATGTGACAGTCACAGGTACAGGGCTGTTAATGGAATCTGCCCAAGTTTTCCCTTGCCTCTCAATGGGGGGTTCAGCTGCTATGATCTATCATTCCACCTGGCCTCAAGGGCTAAAGAACACATGGGAGAGAGTAAGGGTACATGTGACATATGCATTATATTTGATGTGACTACAGCATGAGGAAATACAAACGTAAGGAAGGGAGTTTACCAGGCTGACAGTTCTATGATAGAAACATAAAGAGCAGTTATCTCCACTCTCAAGGAATCCCTCTGTCCATTAGATAAACCAAGAGAGATCATTTACAAAGAAAAAACTGTGCATTCTTTTCAACTATTCCAAAATCCACAAGGGGACTTGCAACGTAAGTCCAAGAGGAGCAATCATTGGATGGTGGGGGGTGCACTGTTTTGATTAAGAAGAGATAGTCCTGGCATTTGTGGGCTTTCAGACCATGATTATAAAGTGAAGACGTGGTTTAGTATAATATGGTATGGGCAACTCTACTAGAAATATAAACTTTAAAAATGTAGGTAAATATCACAAGAATAGGTATACCATGGCTCCTGTCATCACTTGGAGACTGTAGAAAAATGGTTCACAAACACTTACTGAGTATTTGCTGTGTGTAGATACATAATGCTGTGTGAGCAAAATGGAAGGGGATTAGCCCAAAATAAGAGGCTAAGGAATCCAAACTAAACAAAGAAGTGGATCACATAATCATTAGATTTTGTCTGATTATAGAACTCTGGAGATCCTTCTCTTTATGGAGGGATTCGCAAGCTTAGAAGTGTTGGTTTAGATCATAAAACATTTATTCCAGAGAGCTAAAATTATCCTAATAGTGTTCCTTGAGATTGATCAGAGGCACACACTAAATTCACCCCAATCACATGGATGATTAAATTGGGGTGAACAATTTGATAAAGGTGTTGAACCATGTGATGGACCATGCTTTGAGTCCTCATTCTGGATAAAGCTTTTGTTAAGGAAGGGCCCATAGTTTTCCCTTGGAAACTTCGTTTTCAGATGTATGAGATCTTCTGGCTGAAAGTTCTTCTCTGGTTTATTACAGGCAATCCCAGCTCAAAGTCTGTCCTTCTGGAGTGGGAAGACACATATGGGACTGCTCTGATCTCCGGAGTGAAGTATAAGAAAGGTGGCCTTGTGATCAGTGACCCTGGGTTGTACTTTGTGTATTCCAAAGTATACTTCCGGGGTCATTCTTGCAACAATCAGCCCCTGAGTCACAAGGTCTACATGAGGAACTCTAAGTATCTTGGGGATCTGGTGCTAATGGAGGAGAAGAAGTTGAACTACTGCACTACTGTAGGCCAGATGTGGGCCCACAGCAGCTATCTGGGGGCAGTGTTCAATCTTACCAGTGCTGACCATTTATATGTCAACATATCTCAACTCTCTCTGATTAATTTTGAGGAATCTAAGACTTTTTTCGGCTTATATAAGCTTTAAAAAAGAAAAGCACTTTAGAATTATCCATTACTCCTCATTATGGGCACTGGAAATACTGTCTTGAGTGACAGTCTTTTTTAGACCAATTGAGATTTTAATCAAGACAAAATGAGCCACAAGGACCTTGTGATCACAAGGTTCAACAGGTCAGCTTTCCTTCACTTCCCAGAGGTCCATGGAGTGGTCCTTAATGCCTCCATCATGAGCCAGATGGAAGGAGGACTGTGGCCTAGGAACATAAAGCTTTGGGCTGCCACGTGATGATGCCTGTGCAAGAGAAGGAACTGTCTGACCTTAAATGACCAAGAACATTTTAGCCATTGAAGAGGACACTTTTAAACTCACCTTTTGGGGTGGGTCTACTTGCTACCTCAGGGGAGGCCATCTTTTAGAGACATAGTTATGATATGAATATAGAAGGTATGGGAAATGGGGCCAGGTTTGACTGATAAGCTAGAGACTGAAAGAGGCCAATGTCTCATTGGCGGCATCTTTACTTTCAACTGGTGTTTTCTGAGCCAATCTTTGATAACTAAGATAACTAAGAGGGAAGTTTGAGGCACAAATCATTCCCTACACAGTGCAATTGTGTCTGTGTGTGTTTGTATGTATGAGAGAGCAGACAGACAGAATCTAGAGAGTCATATAAATAGAATGTGTGTATTACAAAATACATACTAGAAATATGTGTTACAATTGACGGTAGATATCTGAATGTTTCTTGGCAATAAACTCTAATAGTCTTCAAAAACCTTTTATTATCAGCTACTAATGCTGTTTTCATTTAAGAGAACTAGTATTTATATCTTTTGTGCATCTTAGTGAAGAAATGACAAATAAAAATTGTATTGTAGAATATAGAAAAGGATTAAGGGTATAGTGTTTGGAAGTCAGTGAGATGTGCTTATTGTTTCTTTTCTCCATGGTTTCTTCATTCATAATGACTGTGGAACATTTTGAGAAAGATTTGCAAAGGTGAGCAGAACAGTGTGGCAAATTCTTCTATCTTTGTTAGCTCCTCTTCTTTTCTCTCTAGCTGCTCTCCTCTGGATCTCACATTACCATGAGTTTTGTTTACCACCATTATGGCCAATGTAAACTGACCCAAATTTCCACATATATGAAGGCAGCTCATCTTCTCTGGGGGCAGAGCCACAGCGAAGTAGAAAAGATACATGCCTTGTGGTAAAAACTTGGAGTTGATCTTTGTTCTTGTTCTTAGCTCACTTTACAGTCTGGTAGATCACTTGCCCTCTGATGTGCAGAAAAAAGTTGATATATGTGTAATGTATGTGCAGCCTCTTTAATGTGTATAGAACTTTGTATAAATTATCCAAGGGGGGAGTTTGAAGCCACAGATGGGAGGAAAAGTTAAAAAGAAAACTGAAACATACCTCAATCCCTAACACTATATACAAGAAAGATATTATTAAGTACCCGACATTCCCAGAAATTAAATAGGGGAGGAAGAAGGGAAAGTGTCAAGTCAGCAGAACCTAAGCTATCATTCAAAAGAGTCAGTAAATGTTTCCTCAATAAACTGAGGGACAAAACCAAAGTCTCAGGTTGGAAAGTATCAACTTCTCATCTTCAGGCTGTTCTGTCTGACATCTGGTTGGGTGGGTGGGTTCCTTCGAGGAGAATGTCTGGGAGGTATTTGGTATTTTGGTTATAGATTTGTCTTTCCAGACCTTGTGATGAAATCCCCTTCATCTTTTTCCTTATATTTTGGCTTCAGTCATCAAAGATGCCTGTTCCAAGGATCATGGGACATTTTCTGGATATTTTTATTTTCTTTGTCAATGAGCATTTCTAGACAATCATACTAGACCAAAGAAGAAGTAAGTATGGAGGCAGAGACATCTTGAGATTGGTGGATGTTATAATCTAGCAGTCAAGCTGCTCTTATATTCATCTCTCAGGGGTGCCTTTGGGGTTGTATTAATAGCTCACTACACTTGAAGTATTGTGATTCTTGGCCCTTTGTCAAAGATCAAGTATAGTATTAGTTCCGGTGAAAAGATGCTAGCAATACCTTTAGAAACCTTGATTTTTCTTTAATTTAAAACACAAGTAATGTTAAAACCAAAACATTTTGAATGTATTCATTGAAAATGAGATCTCTCATGTTTCTTAACAAAGGATGATTAAAGACAAAGTTCAGCACAGATATACATAGAAAAGTCACTTCTAGTTCAATGGTTTGAGGTTTTCTTTTCTAACATCTAACAGCACACAACACCCATTCTTTTCTTAGCCCCTCAAACTGGTGGCTTTGTGTTCTCTGAAGTAGGTTTTGACTTACCACAGCTTAACAGGAAAAGAGCTTTCCTGTGGCCATCATCAGAGGAGTATCTATTCTGAGGCACTTTCAGAAGAGGGAAATGGAGGGGGAAACCTAGCCACTCAAAACCAAAGTAGATGCTCACCTTCATGGGCTAAGGCTTAGACATTCCCTAGTTCTTATCAAAAGAAGTGGAGAGACCATGTGTGAAATTATATATATTTAAAGGTGCCTGGGTAGTTCTACTTTGGGGTTCTTTTTCTTACCTAATGTGATAGGTCCAAGTTATCTAGAAAATGAGAAACAGGACACATCATTTAGCGTATTTTTAGACAGCAATGAGCCAAGCTTTACGTGTTGCAGCCTTTGGTAGTGCCAGGGATCTTTAGGGTTCACCTGGAACCCCACCAGACTTGGCCACATAGGTGGCTCAGCAGGCATCTTGTTTCTTACAGTTCACTTTGGAGGCAGCAGAGTGTCTTCTCAATGGTGACCTGATCACCTCTGTTGGGGGATGTCGTTTTGTATATGTTTCTCTTGTTGGTTGATGAATAAAACACTGTTTGGCCAATAGAGGCAGGAAGATAGGCGGGACTAGATAAGGAGAATTCTGGGAAAGGTAAGCAGAGAGACGCCATGTAGCTGTGAAAGGAATAACTGGTCTGGGCATTTTTGGTAAGCCAAGACCATGTGGAAATACTTAGATTAATAGAAATGGGTTAATAATTAAGACAGAACTAGACAGTAAGATGCACTAGCCATGGTCAACAGTTTTATAATTAATATAGCTTCTTGAGTTTATTTAGGGCTGAAGCGGCAGCAGGACCTGGCAGGAAAGAATCTCCAGCAACACACCTCTGCCCCCAGATCTGCCAAATTGTGACACACATCTCTATGCTTCTGAAAATTTATCTTCAGAATAAGGAAATGCAACATTTATCCTCTACCATTCAGAGGTTTCCTCAGAGCTGGGGGGGAGTCACTCTTTCTTCTATAGGATGACATGAATCTCATGCTCACATTCTATAGGAGCTCTAATCTTTACATTTTCTAAGACTGGCAAGGGAGACACCCTTTCTCTATAAATGGGCACTGCCCATTACAACAGGTTTCCTGGCTCTCATAAATTCTAGTTGTGGATGCTCTAACAGGGCACTTGTCACTCCCAAAGTAAAGTAATTTATTGCCTCCAAAGCATCCCTACAGCAATGTGCGTAGACAAAGTTTACTGAAGGTTTAGAGTAATGCAGAGAGAGAGACAGAGTGCACACAGTATAACATGTGAAATTGAGTATTAGAGGTCACCATTTTCAAACTCACAAATATGTACTTGAGTAGACACTCAAAATTCTGGTATTTAAAATAATAATATGATATTCATTTATGCTACAAGTACTTTTTAATGTTTTTACTGACTAATTTTATTCTTTGACAATTTCATGCAAGTATATAATGTATACTGATTACTTTCTCCCTATACTCTTTCTTATTTCCTTCCAACCTCCTTTACCTCTTACCAGTCCCTTTGTAAGATATGTGGTTTTTGGTTTTGTTTTGTGATTAATTTAGGTTAACACAGGCCACCTATGTAAACAATTAGATTTGATCTATTTGAGCTTGGTGGGATCACATAACCCAAAGCAATTACTACCTCTCTCCATGACTCTGTCAGTAGCAAACAGTTTAGCAGTCAAGGGCAGTGACCTATGAGGCACTCCTCTATCTGTGTTTGACTTTTGTTAATAGCCCTAGTCTTGTACAGCCCCAGTGCAAACAGCTATTGGGCATTTATGATTAAAATGGCTATTTCTTACCCAGATGATAACATTTTACATTCCTTCTCTCAATCTTTTGGCCATTAGACTCTTCCTAGCCACTCTTTTATAGTGTTCTGAGTCTTAAGATGTGCTGTAAATGTCTGTAATGCTGTAAATGAAGGTTGAGCATTCACCCACCATTTGTGACCAGCACTTTGTGTACATGAGTCTCTTAACTCACCACCATTCATTGCAAAAAAAAACTTCTGTGATTAAGGATAAAAGCAACATTTGTCTATGGGTATGATATGAATATTTACAAGGCAGTTTGCTGCTATGAAAACTGGGCAGAATCATAACATCCAACTTCTCCTGCTAGGGTCTATGATCCCCCCGCCCCAGTGAGTATTCTTTGACTAGGTTTATAGTACCAGGAATGGCTTCACTCCTATGGATCAAGTCTCAAATCCAGTTGAAGAGTTGTTTGTTACATCTATAACAGAAGTGCCACTACAACACAAGTGGGTACATCTTACTGGAAGTTACCAAGTGTCTTTTCTTTAAAAGTCTACCATATAGGAGAAACTTTCCTAAGGAATGCAATGATAGAGTCCTTTATGAAGTTTATTTTAATGGCAAAGGGGAAGAGAGACAATAAAAATATACAGGTATATACCTATTACTCCTATACTCAGGAGACTGGGGTAGAAAGATTGCATGTTTGAGGTCAGTTTAGGTTACACGAGTTCCTGTTATCCAGAAGAAAACACACAAATATTTAATGTCATGTGGTTGTAAGTGTTATGAAGAAAACTGGGTAAGGTGGTAGTGGTAGAAAGTGATGGTTATTGAAAATAGGGAAAACAAGACACCCAGATATCTAGGATAGAGCACTCCAAGCAGAGAAGTTGCAAGTGCAGAGCCTTGATAGAAAGTTGTTACCTTTTATTCTAGTGTTGGAAACTTGATCCATGAATTGATAGTTTGGGAATGTGGAACAAACCTACTAAGACATGACTAGGTCATGAAAGCAGAGCCTTCGTGAATGGATTTACTTTAATTTTCATTTTTTTTTTTTGCATGACCAGACTAATAATATGTGCACTATGATTTTGGTTTTGCTTTTTAAAAACATGTGCTATTGTCCTTTTGCTTTCTGCCAAGTTATGGAAGAGCACTAAGACTGTTATCAAAGGCCACCACTATGTCCTGCCCATAGTTATGCCCATGGGCTTCCTATTCCTTAGAACCACATTCTTCATCTTATAAGCTATTCAATAAGTGGTATTGCATTATAGCAATCAAAAACAGAGTCAGAGTAACACTATAGATAGAAATCACAGGGTCTTAGAGTAGTTCTTAGTTTTCTCTAGCTTCTTCCTAAGAGCTATGTTCTCTCTGCTTCCATCTGAACTCCCAGAACAACCACTACGCTATCAATGGCAACCCAGTTGTCTCAAGGTAAGAAAGGAAAAGATTGAACTCATGGTAAGAAGGCCTGGGTTGAGTCCAGTCTCTGACACTTTATTAACTGTGTGTGTGTGTGTGTGTGTGTGTGTGTGATTTTTTTTATTATTATTATTTATTTTTCATGTCGATCCCAGTTCCCTCTCCCTCTCACCCTCCCTCCCTCTCTCCATCCCTCCCTCTTACCCTTTCTCCTCCCTCACATGCACCATGACCACCCTCCCCTCCCATTCCCCCACCCCCATTCCACATGTAGAGCTATGCCATCCAGTCCCATGAGCACTGTGTGATTCCTAATCTTTGTGTGTGTGTGTGTGCTTCATACAATATATTTTGACTATGTTTTTCCCCTTTAATTCTTCCCAGATCATCCCCACCTCTTTACCCACCCAACTTAATGTTATCCCCCTCTAAAACAAACAAATAAATATAAAACCAACTCTCTCTTACACACACAAACTCTCTCTCTCTGTGTCTCTCTCTATCTCTGCCTCTCTCACTCTCTCTCTCTCTCTCACACACACAGCACACACACACACACACACACACACACACGTACTTACCAAAACAGACATCAAAATAAACAAGTCAAGGACTAATAAGACCAAAAATGCCCAAACAAA